ACTGGGGAGGCAGAGGCAGGCGGATCTCTGTGAGTTCAAGGCCAGCTTGGTCTACATAGTGAGTTCCAGGACAGCTGGGGCTTCAGGGAGACAAAAAAAAAAAACAAAAACACAACAACAACAAACTCTCCCCAGCTTGGCAAGCAGCCTGAGTACTTGTGAAAGCAGATAATGCGGCTCAGATGTTGCAACCCCCAGGACCTCTCCTCCCAGTGACAGCGTTGTTTTAGGTGGGTGGGATACGAAGGAGGGACAGACACCTCCTTCAGCTGACCTGTAGCCCCGAGGGCTAGGCAACCTCTCCCATGCCCAGTGGAGGTTGGCCTAGGCTGTTTATGTCCCACATGTTCTGCTCACTACCAGAACCATCTGGAAAGTGGGTCCAGCTACAGAACCTGGGAGAGCCTGGCTTCTCTGCACAGGCGAGTCATCACACACAGGTGTGGAGGTGCAGACTTTGATGGCTGGGGGGTCTGTGGAAAACACGTGTTTAGAGGTCCCAGTGGGCCAGTGCTTTAGATGGTTAAGGGGCCTGCACATCCCTGAGGAGGGAGAACACATGGGACCCTCACATCAGAGGGTGCACGGATAACAGTGCCTGCTCAGAGTGGAAACCTTCAGATATCCCTACATCTGAAGTTTTGAGTGAAATCTCTCAGTTTTTGAGAGACTTAGTTTTGTAAAAACAGAATGCTCTGGGACAAAGAAAATGCATCTGGGGACAGGTGTGGCTCACTCATTCCCTCAAAAACTGGCAGAAAGGTGTGTATAGAAACCAAATGAAGAGTAAGGACCCCAAAAGTCAGCCTGCTAGGCAAGGCAACCACAGCCCCACAAGGGGGCCTGCTGGAGAGGCTTGTGACATCATCAAAACAGACACCGAGGCTGTAGGAACTCGGATGGGAGTGGGCATGGCCTGTCCCATTGAAGGAGAATTTGCTAATCTCAATACTTTGGGAGTCTGTGTGTCAGAGTCACACAGGAAACAGAACAGGAATGACCTTAAGAGCAAAGTCACCAAGCCAGGGCTGTCATCCCAGGCTCTAGGGAGGCTGAGGCAGGAGGATCAGAAGTTCAAGGTCAGCCTGGCTACAGAGTAAGTTCAAAGGTAGCTTGGGTAAGTTAATGAAAACTTGTTTCAAAATAAAAAGTAAAAAGAGGGCTTGGGGACGTAGCTCACCGGCAGGTTAATTTGATTTGTGTGACAAGTCTTAGTTTTTCTAGTACATTTTTCATCCCCAAGGACAGAAGGTGAGTTTTCCCGCTGGGTTGTCAGATTGAACTCTATATCCACATGGGTATCTGTGCTGGATAGCTTTAGTATCAACTTGACACACCTGGGTTGAGGAAGCCTTATGTAGGAGGGCCCAGCCCACTGTGGGTGGTGCCACCCCGGGCAGGTGGGCCTGTGTTGCATAAGAAGGCAGGCTGAGCAGGGGCCAGGGAGCAAGCCAGTAAGCAGCATTCCTCCATGGCCTGTGCTCCAGCTCCTGCCTCCAGGTTCTTGCCCTGAGTTCCTACCTTGGGCTCCCTGATGACCTGTGACCCAGGAGATGTAAGATAAATAAACCTTTTCCTCCCCAAGTTGGTAGTGGTCAGAGTATTTTGTCACAGCAATGAAGAACAAATTAGGACAGTATCTAAGGAACCGGCTGAGGTGGGTTTATGTCTGGCTGGGTGAGTGTGAAGTATCTGCTGTTTATGGCTTTCAAGTTTAAATCCCTCAGTGCTGTGAGGGTCATGTCCTGCTCCATGAACTGGTCCTAGGCACAAGCTCTTATTTTTCCTTACTTCCCATTCGTGAGGAACAAGATACACTCACACATGGCTGTAAAGAAGCCTGGGAAATGTATTCTTTACTCTGGGTGGTTATTTGCACTAATCCCAGCACTCAGGAGGCAGAGTTAGGTGGATCTCAAGTTCCAGGTCAGCTGGGGCTACAGGGGGATCCTGTCTCAAAAAGACCACCCCCCCAAAAAAAAACAAAAAAGAGAATGAGACTCTCAGACACAGTAATGGTTCTCAACCATTTATATTAGAGATGCCCTTGAATCCGGGTCAGCTAAATAGAGACAGACAGATGTCACATTCACAGTGCAGTGAGTTTCTGACGCAGCTGGTTAAAACGTGACGCTATGGGGCTGAGTACTGAGTAGTGGCTCAGCAGTTAGGAGCACTGACTGCTCTTGCAGAGGACCTGGATTCGATTCCCAGCACCCATATGATTGCTACAAATCATCCTTAACTCCAGTTCCAGGGGAATCTGAAGCCCTCTTCTGACCTCCTTGGCATTGCACGACATGGGTGCGCTCACATATATGCAGGCAATACACTCATACACATAAAATAAAAATAATAAAATATTTTTTTAAGTCTATTAAAAAAAAATAAGTGAAGCTACAAGCCAGGCGTGGTGGTGCACACCTTTAATCCCAGCACTTGGGAGGCAGAGACAGGCAGATCTCTGTGAGTTCAAGGCCTGCCTGCTCTACATAGTGAGTTCCAGGACAAACAGGGAGACCCTGTCTCAAAAAGACCAAAAGAAAAAAGAAAAAAAAAGTGAAGCCATGGCCGGATGCGGTGGTGTACACCTGTAAACTCAGCTCACAGGAGGTGGAGACTGGAGGACCAGGACTTCAAAGTCACCCTTGGCTACATACTGAATTTGAGGCCAGCCTGGGTTATGAGACTGCACACCTGTTATCCCAACACTATGGATGCAAGTTCAAGGGCAGCTTGGCTATGTAGGAGAACCTATCTCAAAATAAAATGTGCCAGGAACGGTGGCCCACACCTTTAATCCCAGCACTGGGGAGGCCAAGGCAGGTGGATCTCTGTGAGATCAAGGCCAGCCTGGTCTATGTAATGAGTTCTAAGCCAGCTGGGGCTACAGGGAGACTCTGTCTCAAAATGAAACAAACCAAAACCCCCAAAACAAAAACCCCAAACTAACACTTTTTAAAAATAACTTTATTTTATATTCCATCCCATACTGTTTTTTGAGACAGAGTCTCTGGTAGCCTCTCAAGCTTACTTTATATCCAGGGCTAGCCTTGAACTTCTAACTCTCCTGCCTCCACCTCCCAAGTGTGGAGATTACAAGTGTCAGCCCTCGTGCCTGGTTTATATGGTGCTAGAGATGGAACCCAGGGCTTCATGCATGCTAGCTGACTCTACCAATTAAGTTTCTTCCCCAACTCCAGTCCCCAGCCCATGCTATTTAACAAAGGGTCAACTCTAACCACTCACGGTTGATGACTGAAGCATAGGAGCTTAAGGAGGTCTGTCATGGGAAAAGTGATTAATGCAATAACGTCAGGTGTCATGACGTGCTAGGTCGTCTTTGCCGAAGGATCTGAGGACTGCAAGTGTTTCTGAGGTCACCTCTGACCCCCGTGACATCTGAGTCTCCCCTAGGCCATGTGTCCTGTCTAACAGACACTCTTTACTGAGCCCAGCCTCTGTGAGCCAACACAGGTCCTCCAGTACCACTTAATTAATTTCACATCCTGCCTCTTTCAAAAGATCAGCAGAGAGTGGCTCTCTGCAGTGCTCTTACTCTGCGGTCTCCTGCAGCTCCTTTGCCTGCCGGGGATAGAGGCCCCCCACGGCCACCTCTGGGTCCCCGTGAGCTGCCCCGTCTGTGTGGCTCCTCTTGACCTCCTCTCTCACTGTCACTCCAGCGACAGAGGTTCCTTCCTGTCAGTCAGTGGCTCTGGCACCCACTTCCTCTTTCCCTCTCCTGGGTTACTTGCATTCTTTCCTCAGGTCCATGTGCCAGTGTCCTCTCCTTGGAGAAGCCTTCTGTAACCACTGCTGTCCCCTCTTTTCTCTATGCTTGCTAATTTGCCTTCAGAGCCCTGACAGCACCCAGCATGTATCTGTTTCTCGTGG